TGTGTGTGTGTGTGTGTGTGTGTGTGTGTGTGTGGTACAGATGCATAAAGCACTTTAAGCATAATCTTTAACGCAGTATACATAATCATTCGTTATGCTAGTAGTCAAATCCCTTTGGGGCATTTCCTTTTCAGTACCGGAAAGAGAACGAAGGTAGAGGGAATTATTTGAAAGGAAGGAAGGATAATAATAATCATGATAGACGAGAAGGTTAGTTTCAGAAAGCTGTAATATAATATAGCCTAAGAAATATACCATAGAAAGATTTAAATATCTGCTATTATTTGCATTCGCCATTTCGCCTACCTGCATTATCCATCATATAATTTTTGCCCATCAGTTGCTATTACAATTCTCTTCCCATTCACATCTAATTGTTTTAAAAATCATATTGTTTGGAAATTCATTTTTTTCTTCCAAACATTCGAGGCACTTACTTTACATTTTACACCCTAGAAATGGTATCTTGCAGGAATGCTACTTATGTTTATACCAGCGAATATCCACCATATTATCAGGTTTGTTATCATCTTTTTTTCATTTTTTTTTATTCATAGCACGTTATTTATTTCTTTGATATAATCATATATCGAATGTATAATTCTTGTCAATTTGATCTATTGTTCTTTGTTTTCAATTCTAATTTATTACCTTTATCACAGCACAAATGCTATCGACTAAATGATTTTGCTATTAGTGCAAATATCATTTGATAATAGTCTCTGTCACATTTAGTAAATGTCGTACAGGCTATTCAATATAATCTAGTAAACGAATATGACTTGATGTTATAATTACAAAAGCAATATATTGAAAATATAAATCTTCCTGTGGTAAATTTGTTTTGAGATCTATTCAGACTAATTTTCTTTTTGTTGCGGTCAGTGAATTAGAATAGATCGCAGTATATTATTAAGATTGGATACAGTATGTTATCTTTTGATTAATTCCCTATCTTCGGTGATAATGACGAATAAACAGACGGGAATTTGAAATTTTTAAGAAATTCTGTGAAAGGAAATCAATTGAGAAAAGAAGTTCATGCATTTCTCTTTTTTCTCTTTAATCTTTTGATACAGCTTTAGCGTAATGAATAATCGGAACCAATGGTAATTGTTAAATTTTTCTCTTTTTTAGCAACTTACCTATAGTTCGTCATTATTTTCCCTTTTTTCTTAGTATCAACCGATACATTCACCAACACAGCAAACGTACGTCATTCAGCAGCAAGGTTCACCAGGATCTGTAGAGGAGGATGTTGGAGCTCAGTTGGGTCATACAACACGCGCTTCACCTGCTACTGTAAGTTTTGCTTTATAAGCTTTCTTGGTTTTTTTTTTTTTTGTAAGGAGTAATTTTTTGAACAAAATATGCTTGTGTTGCTCAGACTGAAGACTGCTGACATGAAAGCTACTTATACATGACTATAAGAATGACTTTATGACAAGTCCTGGCTTTGTTGCTAATACTCAGCCCTGATCTAAATTAGAAAAAGTTGAAGGGATGATTTATTAATACGTTTCTTTCTTCTGATTTTCATTGTCCCATTTTTTTCGCTGATTTTTTGTTTTTTTTACAGAAGTACTACTTTACCTAATTTATAAGTTTAATTATTCTATGGTCATGGATCTGATAGTGAAATTTTGGATAGATTTAAGATTTCCTTTAAAGAAAGAAATTTACAGTTGTATGATTAATCCACAGTTAGAGTTAGACTAGTGACAAAGAGTATCGAGAAACCGTGCTGCACAATTTTCGTAAATGTAATAAATTGTCCAAATTAACCGATCGTTTTTAAAACAAAATGTATAGATGAGATGCGAAATTATGCCTTAAACATGATAAGTGATCTCCCTAATTATTGCATTGTTTGCGTGTTCGCAACAACATACATAATGATTAAGAATAACAATAATAAAATTAATTGTATGTGTGTGTATGTGCGTGTATGTGTGTGTGTATGTGTGTGTATGTGCTGACTTTCAAAGCATATAAATTTTTTGATTTGTGAAAAATGGATAAACCGATGAGAGAAATCATAATTGTGATGGATGGGTGATTAACGGGTAAATAAGGAAATGATTGAGATAGAGAGGTAGCAATTACGTTAATGATTCTGTAACATGCAATATTATGAAGATTGTTAAAAGATGAAAAAAGGTTAGAGGGGAGTGCATAAAAGGATGATTAGAGAGAAGCAGTAATGGTGAGAGTAATTGTTAATTAGCCAGGCGGGATGAAAAACGGATTAAATTACAGGGATTGTTGAAATTACCGTACTTTCAATTGTGCTATTTAAGTAATTAACTGTCTTTTATGAGAGCCAGTAGTTAGACAGATGGGGCGTGGCTAAATGTGAGAGCTAAGTGAGCGACGAAATCATTGGATAGAACTGAAGAAGCAAGCAGCTTACGTTTCTATATGACATCCAAATAAAATCAATAATTTGGGGTCAAAAAAAGCACACAAAAGATGTATTTTCTGATGGTTCTCTATAGCTTAATTTGAATTAACCTATAATTATCTGACAACTTGATCCGAATGCAGATTTAGCTGGAGATAAAAATGTAATTGAAGTCAGAAAAATTATTTGGATGTTGGTGTGTTCAGGTTTTTAATACGTGGAAAAAAGAGAAAATGGAATGTTTACATATTTTTTTATATTTATAGCTTGAAGAGTTTTCGAATTTCCAAAATAGTTAGGGCATTTATTCAATCAAAAATGAACTCATATCTCCAAAAAAAGAAGGTAAATAATCTGTTACTTTCCAATTAGCTAATAATTTTGCAAGATGTGAAAAATGTTTTAACTGTTTAATAATTAAATCTGCAATTATTATTCCATTATTCATACCTTTTAATAATTTTTCCCGTGCAGATTCAGTGGTTGATCAATAATTATGAACCAGCTGATGGTACTTCTCTTCCGCGTTGTACTCTTTACAGCCACTATATCAAGTAAGCTATTGGATTATGTATAATTTATGAGATAGTGCATAGTAGAAAATATCCCAGTACGTGGTTCATAGTTGTCTGAATCTATATTTTCCAAATTTCGACGTCGAATTTTCAGAACAGAAAAACTTTCAGAAAAAGATTCTGTAACATATAAAATACAGATAATAAGTTTGACTTTTTTCATTTAAATTGAAGTTGTCAGATTTTTTTGATGTTGGGAAAAGATTTGATAAGGGCATATGATTACCATATGAACTATCCCAATTCTGCTTCGGGAAGAAAGTATCTCTTATCCATGGTATAGTAATAAGTTCATCGAGTAGGTTGGACAAGCAGTGGCATTAAAAATGATAAGGTGCCAAGTTTATCTGTTTTTATCATTCATTAATAACATAGATTTTATAACAGCATACTGAAATTACTTCTCTCAATTAGATTAATAACGAGCAAATCTGAAATTTTTATCATAGGCACTGCAATGAAAATAAACTCGAAGCGGTAAATGCAGCTTCATTCGGTAAGCTGATCCGGTCAGTATTTCACGGTTTACGCACACGCCGGCTTGGTACACGCGGTAACTCCAAATATCACTATTATGGGATTCGGATTAAGCCTGATTCTCCGTTAAATCGAGGTACAGGTGCTGCGATGGCATTGGGTGAAGATTACAATGGCATACCGTTGATATCCTCAGCACAATCTGTAAATCAATTACCACCAAGAAGGTATGATCAGAGCAGAAATTTTAATGCTTGAATTTTTTTCCTGAATTTATTTCGAAAATAAATAACGAAAATTTTTGCAAAATTTCAAAAATCCTAATTTTAAAAGATTTTAGGAATACAAAAATTAATGAAGAGTTACGCTTAGATGATTTTAGTTTCTTATCCGTTATTATGAGAACAAGACAATCGAAATATAACACAGACTAAACTAACTAAAAATACTACTATCGTTTATGAAAATAATCTTTTAGTTTGTGTTTTGTGTTACATTTCTTATAGATTCTTGGAAGGCTTTTTTTTAAGCTACCTGTAAAAATTTTTTTCTTGAGACTAGCTGAAAGTTTGTTGGAATATATGAAACAAAAGATGCACGCGAACAGCATGTGACTAAACTTAAATTGAACAAAAATTTCATTAAATTGAAATATTTTAAAAGCAAAAAATGACGAAATTTCATTTATTTTGTGAAGATTTTATTGATTTTTTAAATAATTTTTTTTTTGAAATTATTCCATATCATTTGTAGCTCATCTCGGCGTTCCACTTTGGGGTCCAATTCAGTGATTACTCGACGAAGCAATTCTACTAGTATGGAAACAGACACAACGCTTAGCCAATCTGCAAATTCCAGATCGTAAGTCTCAAATTTAGACTGATGATATTAAGTGTTACTAAACGGATTACAGTGCTGAATGATTAATGTTGCATGCGGGATATGCATGTGTTTTCCACATGTTATTGACTTATCCCGGGAAGTCGTGTTTTTAAGGAGCCCATCGTCCACTTATGAACACAGCATATCATCGAATCATGGTACTTTCAGTGCATATCGAAATCAAAATGCTAATTCTTCGATGGGTGGAGATAACTGTACAGGTTTCTTCATATTATCTTTTGTAGAAATTTAAAAGTTCTTTAAAAAAAAAACATTTTTGAGAGTTTTTAGTTTTGAGCTCAGACAGACAAAAATTTTTCGATATGATTTTTCGATATAATTTTTCGAATAAACTTTCCTACTTGTAAAGTTTTGTAAAAGTTTGCAAAAGTGAATTTTGTTTCAGACATCGATAGAGAAGTTCTTGGTGATGGTGAAGTGCCGCATGTTGGAATACCTGATATGCAAGGCTTGGAAAGCTATTTGCAACCATTAGGGCTAACTTTGCAACATGCAGTGCGTTTTATCGAAAGTTACACAACAAATTGTGCTGTAAGTTGAGAAATTTTATATTTTACAACATTGTTGAAATTGCTATTTACTTCGAATTTTCTGGATATCGCCTTTTATATTTCATTGTATTCTAACATAGAGGAAATTTTTTCATCTAATTAGCAACAATATTGATAATAAAGTTATCACCAAAAGAGATCAAGTAAATTAAAGATGTAGGAGGAAAGAATAAGTTAGTTGGTTGAATTTTTTTCCGTACCATGGTTTTACAGGAAGTTTTGGAATGTATAAAACAGTTGCATTTCGATATGGTAGAAGAATGTTGGATAACTTTTTGGCAACCGGAAAATGATCAAGAAGATATGGAAGATGAAGAATGCGCTGGCAATGAGTGCGTTTGAAATTTCCTATAGTTCATTTATGCACCTCTAATTTTCCGCATATTTTCATACTATCCGTTAAACGTAGCACGAAATAATGAATGATACTGAAATTCACTCTTGTTAATGTTCAATGCACAAATTGATTGTATTTTTTGAATTCATTCAGTAAAACGTTGAAAGGCCTCAGTCAAATTCAACTATTTCGCCTGTGTACAGTGCCTCAAATGCAGGCATTTGTCCAAAATATGGACTTTTCATTTTATCAGGTGGTTGTCGAAGTTTTGATTCCAGATGTATTGAGCTCCAACATATCAGGTTGATCTTTATGGCATAATTTTTAATTATTTTTAGAAATGTCGCTCTTTTTGTTTTCATCTTATTTTTTCTGGTCTCTTTTTCTAAAGGAGAGAAATAGAATAATTGAAAAGTTGTTTATTACTTTTAATCACAATGCACAAATAAGAAGTCGGATCATCAAAATATCCAAGAGTGGGTTTTAATGATTGGATAACAAATAATTTCTAGGAGCACTAACTTTACAAATTCGTAATTTTGCGAAATCATTGGAAATGCAACTGAAGAAATCAATGCAAGGAGCTCCAGATGTTATTCAAAAGAAGAAACTTGTCGCTGTACGCACATTAGCGCAAACATTAAGGCGATATACTTCTTTAAATCATCTGGCATCTGCTGCACGTGGCGTCCTACAAAAGCCGGATCAAATCCATCAGATGCTTCAAGACTTCAATCGAGTTGATATAGCTAGTGTTCAAGACCAGGCTGGGTTCGTCTATTACTCATGCCTTTTTTCAATGTTTGAAATTTAATCTAACCTCAACCAATTCTGGTTTCTAAATCTTCGAAGCCTGATCGAGATTTTACTTAGGAAACTATTAGAATAATGCCACAACATGATGTCATATATTATTACTGACACTCAGTTGATAATAATGAAATGATTTTGTTTCGAGCTAGAATGGTTCATATGCTTTGTGTGAGGTTTTGACAGAAATTTTACCGATAGTTTTGTAAATTTTTAGGTGGGTGTGCGATTGTGATCCAGTGCTGGTATCCAATCTTCAGTCCGATTTTCGAGAAAATTTGCAGAAACAAAAAAGCTTAGAGCAGTGGGCTGAATGGATGGAAGCTGTCGTTGATCAGGTTGGTAGTAGTAAATTGGTGAAATTTGGGATTAAAGATGGAAGATTACGGAGTGCATTTAAAGTACATTCAAAATAATTTTTATTAATGTCTTTGAACATAAGTTTGAATTTCAGGTACTGGCAAAATACCACGATAAACCCTATGGTGTTTTGGCGGACGTTTCAAAACAGTTTTTAAAGAATTGGTCTTTTTACAGGTAAATCAGTTGTTCGCTTAGATCTGAGTAATTCATCCATAGCTGCATTTTATTTGTCTTGATTTCATTTATGCTAAAATAGAATAAAATATAAAATAAAATAGAAATATTCGACAAAATTTCTTCTCATATTATAATATTTGTAGCTCGATGATAATACGAGATCTCACACTTCGCTCCGCTCAATCCTTTGGTTCCTTTCACCTTATTCGTTTACTTTTCGATGAATATTTGTTATATTTAGTGGAATTACGACTTGCGAAAGCTTCCAATAAGCCAGCCATTTACGTGATGACACAGGTTTTAAATGGAAAAGATTTTAACTTTTTTTGATAACTTGTAAGATCATATTTGGTAGTGCATACGCTACATCTTTTTATAATTAATCATTTGAATTCAAATATCAATATTAGAAGGCAACTGGAGTAATAATTTCATATAGATAAAATAAATTTAATGTATTTAGTCCTTTCAATGATACCACTTTTTCAATCTATAACTCCTTTCATTTTTTAGATGATGGAAAATATTACACTCAGTGAAACGACTACTGTAGGAGCAGGAGGAGTGGAAATTCTTGCATCGCAGTCGATCGTCACATCAAGTGGTGTTGGTCTGCTTCCAGCCAATAATAGTTCTCATTTCTTCAGTTCGTTGGAAGCTCAACCTGGTGTGAATATTGTCTATATGGATGAAAGGTCTGGTCAAACCCAGACCATACATTATGTTAGTGTAGGATCGAATACGCCACCACATATGGATACTTTGGAACAAATTGTCCAAAGTAGTGGTAGGTTTTTTTGAATTTGAAATGTTCCTAATGATCAAGTTGAATTAAAATAATAGGATGATCATCGAGGAATCTGAAAAACGAAAGAAGTTATAGATTGAAAAAGTGGAATCACTGAAAAGATTAGACGCATTATACTTTATAATTTTCTAAGCTACTTCAAATTATTACTCCAAGAATTGATCGTTAGAAAGAGGATGTTGTTGAACTTTTTTTTTCTTGTAGATTATCGTTTTAGATATTCCAGAAATTAAATGATCCTTTTCAGAAATGACATTAGAAGATGTGAAGAATGATCTCGACGAAGAGGAAAGGAAGGATTTGAATCTCATGTAAATAATCAGTTCATTACTTAGTATCATTTTTTTACAGTTTCTTTTCATCAAACTTATTTGCTGTTTATATTTATATATATATAGTTTCTATGGTATGTAATACTTTAAAGGGTAAAGAAATATGGGCAGGAAAGCAGATAAGAAAAATTTAACGAAATTATATTTCACTTTAGAGTAACACTATTACATCTTATCCTAAGTTCGATTTTAAAAATTAGTATAATTTTGAATTTACAATTGGCAATTCAGGCATATTGATGAATGTGTTAAATTTTTAGTTTGAAATGCTGCATATATTCTTTTAAAATTGGAATGTTTTCTATTTATAATAATAAAATAGTTGCATACACTATTTTGGCTTATGTAAATTATTTTGAATTCATTATATAGTTGCAATGTTGTTGAATATGTGGAGAATAGCATAATCAATCGTTTTCAAAGATTAAAAAAACGGACAATGAATCTCATTGAATGATGAAAAACTGTGGACTTAATTACACATCGAGCGTCAAATTTACCGTTAGTAGAATTCAGAAATCTGCAGACACTTCCATTTTTTTTAAATCGAAAATTGACCTTAATAATTTGTCAGAAAAATTGAGTTATTATAAAAGAAATCAATTTTTCAGAGAAACAGATTGAATAAAAACACAAAATATACCTGAGGAAAAGTACAGGTCTATCGTAACATATTCTGCAATATGTTGACGCTTGTTCGCCGTAGTTATGTTGTTTTTATTCTTATCTACATAAAAGAGATTTACAAGTTATAGCACTGTAAAGACTCTGATATCCTTCGAGATTGAAGATCAATAAAATAGTAATTCTTGCTCCACCGGAAAATTTACTATCGTTGCTTAATTTGCATTTCTTTAGCTATATTGTATTGAATTTTAATAGAAATTATTGGAGGTGATCTGCGCAGAAAATCTGTAAATTATAATTTTATCGTGTGGCATTTGAGATTTTTACCCACTTTCGAGAATTCATTTGGAAAAGTGCATTTTATGAAAGGATAGAAGAATGAATCTTTTCTAATCTCTAAAAACAAAAATGAATACTGAAACTATGTGGCTTAATTTAAACAGCTAATCTCTTTCCCTGCGATATTTTGTTCCCTACGAAAATTTTACTAATGAAATCTAATAGAATGACTCACTTATTTTTGCTATCACAAACTTTTCCTTCACTGGAAATCGACTGCTTCTGGAAACATCAAACGTTTTTTTCCTGAAAAACTCTTACAATAACAGCTTATCTAAAATCATTTTTAAAATCACTTTTAGTTTAACATTTATAAATTTTTGCACATAAAACCATGGAAATTCTCGAAAAATTAAAATGAAATTTCCAAATTTCCATTAGTTTTGGAGTTTTCAAATTAAAATGAAATTTCCATTAGTCAGTTTTTATTAATCAATGGAAAGGATGTAATTGTTTGCGCAACTGTTACATTAATATTTTTTGATCGCAATCTACAAGTAGCTTTAATTAGATGTTTGAATGTTATTAAATGCCTACCGGTTTCTGGTTTAATTAGTAAGAATAAAAATGAAAATTGTGAAATTTCACGCACATTATACTGCTATCAAAAATATTTAATTTTCAAAAAATTTAAGCATTTTAATTGGAAGTTTGATGTTATTAAACAATCATTCTTTTATTTTTTTCTCTTAATTTGTGCACCTTAATTTCGCCGACTGATAAAATAATTTTCAAACTATCAGCAAGCATTCCTCATTTCCATTCCACTTTTTTCCATCATTCCCTACCAATCTTCGGTTATCCTTTTTTTCTAGAATTATCAATTTTTTTAATCAGTTCCCGTTTTTTTCATAAAAAGTACTTACTACATTTGACGAAATGATGCTCACAATTTGTTGCATTGTTAGCTCTTCTCACAAAGCTAACAATGCTTCTAGGCATACCAATAATGGTGCAAAACTGGAAAGCGGTAACATCATCAAATATATGAAGTTTCAGAATAGCATAATTGATAAAATAATGTTAGAAGTGTTAGAATTTTATAGAAAATTTATTATCATTGATATGCTTTGATCTACAGAGTTCAGGTAAATTTTGGCAATTTAAGTGCAAATTTCAACTGTTTTAAACATTTTGTAAACAAGTAACTTTATGCTATGACTTCATTTTTCGAGAACAAAAATTCCAGCAGAAAAATTCGAACAGATAAGAGATAGAAATTCCAAACTACTAAAATTACAAATGAAAGATATCAGAGAAACTGCTGCAAAAAAATGGATAGTCCGGATTTTAACAAAATATTTCTACTTGTGAATAAATATCACTTCTGTTAGCCCGTTGCTTATCAGTATGGATGATAAGAGATTTGGGAATGTGGCAAGTTACATTTCCACTTTTCTGTTTCGATAAGTTATTAATATATTTTGTGGATTCATTTGAAATTATTGAGTGTTCCATTGAAATACTGAAATTATCCTTCCGCGAATATCTGATCTGTTTCTAAATTCATAAAGTGCTGCAAGCTTTAATAGTGATAAGAGCAACTTGAATTCGTGCTAACTTGAGTTGAAATCATAATAAGAGTAACTTGAAATATGTCGTACAATGATTGTCATATTCAATCTTACTTCTATTAAATAGGTTTTGCAAGAGTTCTTTTTTGGAATTTCCGAAATTCTTCCCTTGAAAAAATCTTACGTACATGATATGAAATTTATATTTTAAAATTATTTTTTTTTTGAATTTCAAGTTTTATGCTTTTTTCTCGTTCATATGATCCATTCTTGAATTGCATTTGAAGCACTTTTATTATACCTTTTGTATAACGATTTTCAATGTTCAATTGTATGATTTATACAGTATCTGAGTAATTTATCAATAAAAATATGTTTGCTTATCTGCTGTATTACAAGAAATGAAAAAAAAAATGAAACTCGAAAATATGGAAACGATCTTAGGCAGTAAGAATGAATTATCTTATGGAGGTAATTTATTAAACAGCTTTCTTCTCCAATATTCTCCAAATAGAAGCTTAAATCTTAAATGAATTTAACAATGCTAGTTTCTTAAGCTGAATTCAATTTTTATTTTCGGTATAATTGAATTTTTCAAAATAATAGTCAACCTTTGATTTCACCATCATGAGTTAAACGAAACAAATTTAACTATTCCCGAATATTAATTCTTTCACGACAGGACCCATGCAGAACAAATCAACTGTTATGCTTGTTAGATTATACTGAAATTTTGAATTAATCAGTAAGCCTCACTGCAAACTTCTATTATAGTTCTGTGAGAAAAGAAAATTGAGATAAAATTATTGCGCGGATGTCATGAATATCAAAAGTAAAATATTGGCTTCGTTAGTGGCAAAAGATAAAGTAATGTTAGAAAATTATTTTTGCATTCGGCTCTTCTTTATTTAAAAATCGTTCATAATTTCGTGTAAATAATTTCGAATTCTAATTTTAATACTTCTCGGCGATAATTGTTTTTCAAGAAAGAAAAAAAGCGAAATAATTTATTTGATGAAATTTATTTTAAATATATTCAAAATCAATTCATTATCTTTCATTTATCATCCGTTATTCTGTTCACATAAACATATAATTTCCTCTAACGATCAGTATTTGTATTCTTCTATTAACATTACAAAGATACAAATTGCAATTTTTCACTCATTTTCATGCTACATGCGAAACTTTTTTCTCTGATTAATATTGCTTCTCATTAAGCTTAAAAATTAATAACTATTAGCAATAACTTTTGTTGAATAGTTAGAAAGAAAAACAAAAGACTTCCATTTTTTCTGTTATTCCATTTCAAATAATTATTCTTCCACTTATTCACTAGAAAGAAAGCAAAAAAAAATGGAATAATATAATATAGTATAATTTATGATTTTGGAAAGAAAAAATATCAAAATATTGATATTTGCTAACTTTTCCCATATTTTTTAAAATCCATTCTAATCTTAATCCTTTCATCACTCTCTTTCTTTAAAATAATTAGAATTGAAAAAAAGTTGAATGATTTGATAATACAGCTATCGGTTCATCGTTTTTTCTGTTTTTCTTTTTATCAAACTTTAGTAAATGACGGTTTCTTACGGTGATTCTCAAATGGAATTCTAATCGGATTAACTAATTAGCTAATTGATCTATTGATCGATTGATTGATTTAATAAGCATTAAGAATATGATGAAAAATGAACAGGATAAAACTTTTTTTTTGACATATGATTTCATTTTTTCTTTTAAATATGAGAAAAATGTTTAGGTTAAAAATGCAACTATCAATATGTAACTGATAACCGAAATGTTGTTGAATTCTTTAGTTTTTTTATCTATATTAATTTGAATAAGAGTAAAATGAAATATTTTGAAATTTCGAACAAACATTTCCAAGTCAATATTTGATTTGTAAACAATTTCAGTGATAATTCTCATATTATAATTTTACTTACATGAAATTAACATGGCAAGAGAAAATAAAAAAAGCAAAAATCCTAAGAATCCTTCATTTTAAAATAAAATAAAAATTCAAAAAATAGAAACAAAAAAGGAAGTCAAGGCACAAATTGCGTTCGACAACACCCAAAACACACTTTTTTTCCTAAATTAATCGAAATTTTATCAGTTATTTTGGAATGCTTTGATTTGTAAAACTCATTCATATTTACATTTCATCATTTAATTCACAGTAGATAATATTAATGCATACGAAATATTTTACATGAATGCGATCGAAATCGTCATCGAGGATTACTTTAGGAAATATAATGCCTATTAATAATCCTACTATAAATTATTGAATTGTAAAACTATTCCTGATTAAATATCCTTTGATTTTTTTAATTTTCATCCATGCATTATCTTCAAATAAATAAATTTGTTCCGTCCAAAAAATAGAACTACAAATTGAAAACAATGTAACATTTACCTTTTTTTTTCTTAAAATCATCCCACTCTTTCCTATCATCGTCCATTTTTCCAACTGGTCAATTTTTTGCTTCATTTAGGACCTCATTTTATCATTATAACATTTAATTTTATTTTTCCAATTTCATTCAAAAACTTTCATTCATCCTTTTTTTTTTCTCTCTCTTTTATTTTATCATCCATCTTTTTTTATCTTTTATCAAATTAAAAGTAATAAACTACTTTTTTTCCAAAAAAAAATATTTTTTCCTGCTTTACTTCATATAAAATATTTATATTTGTTCAATTTTATAGAAATTTTTTAATGACTGTTTTAAATGCTATAAATATTCAATAAAAAATTGCGATATTTTGAAGTATATTAAGTCAATTCCGCCTTGAAAACTTCGTTTTAAAGTAATTTAGACTTTTTTTTCTCCCGTGCCTCATTTCCACCCACCTCAATTCGATAAGCTAATATAATGCACATTTAAATATATCCAACTACTTTTTTTTTGTTCAGATTGCTGGAACAAAAAGTAATGTAATTCCCTAGGATATTCACTAGTTTAAGGGATGGAATGTAATTAGTCAATTAATTTTTAATACTTTGAAAATATTAAATGAGCTATGCGCGCACTGACACAGACATGCACATGTATGTATGGTATATGGGTACATATTTTTTGTTTCAAAAATGAAAATAAATTAAAATTGGCACTTGTAGAATGATGATTTCATTTTAATGAAATGAGCAACGAAATGTTAGCTTTCCGGAGTATAAATGTAACTTCGTTGATGAATACAAATAATTAGCACTGCCGATTCATTTTCCGACGATTATTAGTCATCAGTGACAATCATCATTACACCACTGTTTATTATTATTATTATTATCAGTGTGATTGTCACTATCATTATTATTATCATTACTATTACTTATTATTATTGTTAGTATTATTATTGCCATTATTGTTATCATCATTATCAATCTGTCGTCATTATCTTTGATATTTAGCACTAGTTTTCCTACAATTAATAATCGCCATTGATAATCATTGTTACACCATCTATTATTATTATTATCACTGTTGTTATCATCACTGCCATTATTATCTTTAATAATCAAGTCTATAATTGCATGACACTGGCTATTTATATATTCTGCTTTCCTCTTTGGGATTATTTCTAATACATTTGCTATCATTTATCAAATATATTGAATTAATTTTCTGTAATTAAATTTAGTTTTTTTTCCAATAATTTAAAGTTTCAGAAGTTTAAATCAAAACCGTTATTGAAAGTATCTGTGATAGAAAGTTTATTACAAAAAAGGAAAAAAAATCTAAAAATTACTTAATTTTCAGGAATGCGTAAAATATTGACATTTTTTGGTATGTTATTGTTGATAGCTGAAATGTTTGATGATAATAATTGTGTACGAGCGCTAATGCCATATCCGTATTTTCGAAATCAACGCTATCAACCATTCAGGGGAAAATTACAACCGCCTTTATTACTTATTCGTACTCTACCAATCGCTGCTATGGTTTGTCCTTTTTTTTTCTTCTTCTTCTACTTTCATTAATTTCTAATTATTTACAGAATTAATGAATTTTATGATTATTCATCATAGGTTTCACTTGTGAAATTCAAAGGTAGAGATGGGAGAAGGAAGAAGAGAGATATGAATTCATGATATGATTAATATCACACAAAGTTAGCTTTAGCTAATAAATAGATCATTTCATTTGTACGATTAATAAAGCATTGAAGAATTTGCAAAAGGATTATTTATTTTGTCTTTTTTTGATTAAAAGTATGATATGTAATAGGCTACATTTCAATTTCTCAAATATTTCAAAATATTTTCCGAACAGTTCAATTTTTTCATTCTCTATTTAAGTTCCATGAACACTTACCAATAGAAAAATCAATAATTTAACTACTTTTATTAGGATAATTGCCTGTAAATTGCTTCGCTATCTTCAATGCTATAACTATTTTTATCAAGAAAATAACTACTATTTATTGCCTCAGGTACATCAGAGAGAGCGAGAGAGAGAGAGAGAGAGAGAGAGAGAGATAGAAAAAGAATAAAAAAAATGCTTGTAACTCTAAAAGTAATTCATCCTTACTATTTTTTCATCTTTAAAATTAATTTGGCTCTAGCAATACTAGCGGATAGTATTGCATAAGTTGCTTATATCCTTATCGAATTTTCAGAAAAATTACAAATGTTTACTGGATAGTTTTCAGATACATACATATTTTCACTTTATGAATGAACAGTGGAAAATTAAAAATTACTTACAATAGAATAGGTAAAAAATTTTTTTTTTTTGTAAACAGCATTTTATAATCGTCCTCAGTTATTTTTTTTTCGGACAAAAATAACAGAACAATGCAAATAATGACTGGTACGAGACGAAAAGTATGGACGATAGATTTGGATTAAAAACAGTTTTTTTTTTTTTTCAATAACAGTTTTTTTTTTGCCAAACTTTATATATATTAATATTATTGGATGAAATAGACAATAGACTGTTTATTTCATCCAACAAAGCAATCTGTTGTATTAGCTGTACTCACAAAGTTACCTTTATCATCTAATGTTGAAGTGATTGTCAATTAATTTTAATTTATTGAGTGTGGCAGTATTTTAGCTTGAATGAATAAGTATAATGGAAATGTATTATTTTAAAAGAAATAAATTCAACTGGTACTATTACATGTGGGAAAAAAGTTACTACAATAATTGGAAGGATTATTCCTATTTCAGGAATCTGCTAATTAAAAACACAAATTTTATGTCTCAACGCCATCGTCCTCTCATGCTAACGTCATAATTGCAGCATTTTAAAGATTTTTTCTGGGAATGAATTGAGAAAGAAGAATTATGGGTGGGACGCGGATTTGCTAACTTGTAGATTTTACTATGAAAATTTGAAATTAAAATTCATGAACTATCCAGCAGGCATAACTGATTTATCATGAAAAATTATCAAACTTCCTATTTGTCACAAGTAAACTTTTAAATTGTCAGATTTTACTATTAAAATCATTTTTGGAAGAAAAATTGCGAAATTACATACCTAATCAAACAAAATTTGTCATTAATTTAATGTCCTTCTCTACCTAATAAGGTACCCATTTGTTCCCCTAATAATGAGATGCATATTTTTTTGCGTCATCATCTAACCAATATAAAGTTACGAATGCGAGAGACTTATATTATGAATGGAAGAAAGAAAATTTATTACCGTTAAAATGAAAGGCTGTTGGCTATGTCATGACAAAGTAACAGAGTATTTGATTAACAACATTTTTTTAGGTTTAGCTTAGTTCAATCTTCAACTCAATATTATTGATATTTTCAGGCAAATATGCGAGATTATATTTGGCATTATTAATGCTATTAACTTAGTTTTTCAGTACAAAATGGTTAACTAAAGCTAGTTGATAAAAGATGGTTTTAGATTTGCTGAGAACTTAAATTAGTTAATCACATGTAAAATACGACTTTAAGCTAATTAACAACATGTAAAATATGACCGAAAATTCCGATGAAGAATATCGATGAGAAATCAGAGTCCAATTTCAAAATAATTGATAATAGGATTAAATCCTGCAAGATAATTAACCAAGCTTCGATTTGAGATCATATTTTCTGAGTTGATGATTATTTGAAAATACATAAAATTTCATGATTTAATATGATCAGAAATTCTCTCAGTTCATCATATTTGCAGGATCATTACCTGAAAGGAACAGTGTTAACGGCACAGAAACGATCTCAACCGGATAATGATTTCGATTATGTCGACGAATTCGACCCAACACAAATATTCCTGTGAGAAGAATGCAATCAGTTAATCATAAATGAATATCAGTAAAAAACATCTCATTTATCTTCATGTACAAACAGTATGACAATAGCTCTAATGATGTTGACGCTATTTCAACTGTTATTTGATACGTTATATTTTATAAAATTTGATTTAATCTCAGTATCATTTAATCACTTCATTATTTGATGAAGTGATGTAAAAAAATGAAAAAGCAAAGAAAGAGCACTTTAATCAATATGGCAAACTAGTGGAAGATCCTCAGTAGATGAGATTTATCGAGAAGTATCAATTTTGATAGTCTATTAAAATTATCGCAAAATTCAGATTACTACTATCTCAAAATTGTACAAATATTCGTGGTAGCATGTTCTAGTATAAATGCATTTTAACAATCAATGTTGGCAGAATATCTTTCAGACTTATTGGGAAATATTTCAACAGAATTGATTAAAAAGAATTGAATCAGATAAAACATGTTAGCATGGATGAAATTGAGTAATGAGGAAATTTTATAGCTTTTTTTTAAACAACCATTTCTTTTTGTTTTAAATTACCGTGCTTAGATAGAACAGAAAAAAAAACTAATAGATGGTTATTTGGCGAATATTCATCTACATTAAACTAACTTTGTGCCAGCTCAAGCTTATTTCTCGCCATGTTGTTTTCTTTCTCACCTACGAAGTTATTTCTCATGAAAAATAAGTTTAATAAAACAGCTATCCATTAGCTATAATTTTTCTTTTGATTTGATAGACAAAAATCATTTGCTTTATGGGAAATATACAACATGTTCCAATTAAATAAATGTGTTGACAGAATAATAGCGGTTACAGCAACAGTAGTAGTTCTAACAATAGCAAATAACAATCGTTTTAATAAAAATTTGCATGTCATTTCCAGCTCTTCCTCTTCATTTCAACAAAGGAACCTGACGGATGTTTCAAAAAATTCAAGTTCCTTCCATTACACTGTTTCTTACTCAGTACTGTAAGAGATGAAATTGAAAATTATTGGGAAGGGAAATAAAATTGACATGATTCAACAAATCTAAATGGTAGACGAACATTCTTTTATATACATAATGAAAATGCGTGATCTACAAGCGATTAAATGAAAAAAAAGTGAGAATTTAAATAAAAACTTGGTAATTTAATTGATGGAATGTAAAAGATGCAAAATTAAGAAAAAATAATAGATGACTGCTAATGAATCCCTACTGTTTATTAAAAAAGAACAAATTTCGATGTTTACCTATCACTGATTGATTAATTAAGCTCTTTCAGCATTGAATGTTATCATTCATAAATATTTCGCAAACACATGCGTGATATTGCATCTAATAATTGATAGCAAAAAACCACAAAGATTTTAATTCGCATTGTTTAAAGAAAACATAATGTATATAATCGTGCGAATAAACAATTATGTTCAGTCTCCTGAGATTATTTCGAATTCTAGTATGTAATTAGCGATATATACATCTTGAAAGGGATCAAGTTTGTAAATTCTCAAACAGCGCACAGATAATCATTCAAAATCAGCACTGAGAATTATTGCTATTCAGATAATTGAAATGAGAATATGAGACATTTATTAAATTATTTGAGATATAATCATTCGTATCTTCAAATATTAAACAAAAAGTGCAGCTTATTCCCCTCTAAAGGAAAAATTTTTACAGTTAATTGACAGCACTGAACATTGCTCATGAACGATTTAATCGAAACCATTAGCTGAGTTTCGTAGTATGACAGATACAATGAATGCTTAGTTGTTGCTTACTAAATGCTAGCTCAAATTTATACACAACTAGAAAATAAATATAATGCTGATAAATTCATACAAATCCTCCAATAACATTCACATAAAATATGATAATGACTACATTAAAGTCTTGATAAATCGTCGGGAATATGGATTCAAACAATACTTACCTTAAATATCTAGCATGCTGTGGGATGAAAATTTGAAACTAAGTTTCTCATAAGAAAATAATGACAACCTTATTTAAATCAAAAAAAGCTTGACATCGAAATAACTTAACTTTTAGTAGCGATGCTAATAAAATTTTGAGCGTGTCATTAAATTCATGGTGATGAAAAGAGTCAGTTCACAAAGCGTTACATGATCAAAGCGACTGAGAATTAAATTTATAAATCGAAATGTCTACACGGAAAATTAATCTGTTCTTCTAAAAGTTACAAATTAATAAATAACATATTGTAATCATCTTTTGGTTATAATTTATCATTATCACTGTCACTATTAATTACAAAATATCCTTCCAGATATTTAGCAAAAACAATGATCGGAAACATACGACTTTGATAAATGGAATTAAACTACAAGGAAGTAAATCACCAACACATCTCCCCACACACTATCAATAATAAATCACTGATAAAAACCTCCATACCGATCTTATTTTCTCCATTTTGATTACCTCAGAATGCAATTCGCTGTCTCATCAGATAAGCAATAATCTGTTCTGTTTCACGGTGCACTTTTTGTTCTGTTATAGGTGCACGTATGCAGATTTACGTTTATTCCATTTTACATACGTCAAAAATCATACTCGTTTGATTGCGTGAAAAGCATATTAAAAAAATTCAGATCACTGCGTTACATCCTGCATTTACGTAGAAAACACGCATGTATACGTATTCACTTGACTTTATTTAAAGTGCGAACAAGTAGATGCTTTGTTAATTATGCGTCAAAAATGCTGTTAGATATATATTATTTGTACCTAAGATAAAAAGCCATTTTTGAATGAATTTAGCTATTTCTAAGTTAAAGATATCATAGAAGCAAAAATTTTTATATTTTTGGAATTTTTGTCAGATAAGCATTGTTTTTACTCATATGTTTTTGTTCTAAGCATTGGTTCTATAATTTAAATCAAATTTCGTGGATCAAATTTTCTAATATTGTTGAATGTGTGAAGTAAAATTTTATTAATAAAGTGAAAGTCAAGACTTTTTCTGTGAATTTTGAAAAAATTTAGATTAGATTTCTTTTATGCCACTGGAAGATTTATGTCACAGTTATGAGTTGGTGGTAATTTTCAATAACCTGAATTTCCTCAAAATTTTACCGAAAAAAATGTGTGTTTCAAAGCATTTTTTGTTATTGTATGCCCTAATTATAAATGAATTTAGTCAAATAAATTAAGGTGGATTTTAACTACAAAGAGTATCAAGTTAGTCATGACGGATTCAGGCAATCCGTTTGTGGGCACGCAAATACAAAATTGTTCAGAATTAATTAGATTTCAGTGATTTCCGGTTATTTTATCCGGAAAGTCAGAATAAATGACTATGTTTTTTACTTTCAGCATCTTTAAAAAATGCGAAAATTTCGGTTAGCATTACGATTTTTGTTGAAACGATCTGGTACTGTAATTCTGCGGTATGGCCGTCCAGTATTAAAAAGTGAAGTGCTTGGTCGTGGTTTAACGGTTAGTTTTCTATTACATTTCTTCTTTTCTTTTACTTTTTTTTAGCATTTCTAAGTTTAGAGGAAATGACAAAAGCAGGATATAGATATTATAGTTTACTTTTTGAGTAATATTGCAGAAGAAATAGAAATTGATTAGGTGAAAAAGTGTGCAAATTTTGTATGTCGGAGAAAAAATACTATAAGGCCATTGAAGAATTTTGAGTGAGTGCCTTAAGCTCTAGATATCTCTTTTTTCAATTTATTGCCTTTCTTGTTATTTTTAAGCTCTGGGGACGAATTATAATACGACCACTTGCGTTAGCAGGTTACCAAAAGAACTGGAGAAATAATTATTGGTTAGGTATTAATCGACGACATATTTCTCCACTGAAATTTTGTTCTAAGCTTGAAGTTTCGGAAAGAATTAAGGTATATTACTTTTTCATCTTTGTTTTGTCAATAAAAAATTATTTGGTTGATAAGCTTGCTTATCTATGAGAGGAAGAATAGATTTGTCAATTATAAAACATCTCAAAGACATTTCGAAGATTTATTTGTTGCTAATTCGAGTTGTGACTCGCAAAAATTTAAGCTATTTCTGGAGAATTTTTTCTCTGCCAATAACCTTTGCATTTTTCTGTTTCGTTGATTGAAAGGACTGTAATAATTACCTTTTTCAGAAGTTATTTCTAACAAATACGAGGTATAATAGCGGTTTGCGAGCTACAGAAATACCCAACAGGCTTGAGGATTATGAAATAGGTGAAGGATTTCATTGGAATACTGAATCTCTCTCTGTCTCCCTATTATCTGCACTTATTCATTCTTTGCGCACATTCTTTCCTACTTAAAAGCAAAATAGCATGTTAGAGAAGAAGAAACTATCTTACATACATACCCATTTTATCCATTGGCCATTTCAATCAAAGATTAGATCGTTGGGTTAATTTCAAAATTGAAGTGGGAATCTTTAGTGGCTTTCATCTTGCAAACTCATCTACTGTTTTTAATATCGATGCATGAAACTTGAATATTTCTAACTAAGGAAATCAAGGAAGAAAAAAAGAGCTTCTTTTAAATTTAATAATCATAAAAACAGTTGCCAAATTCAGTTTTGGATGTTTATCATATTTCTTTTGAATTGTCTAATCATTTGTATTTCTGGAGTTTTCGGTTTATTTAAATTTGAAGGTAGTAATATTGCTTGCGGCTGTGATGCTGCCGTATATGAAGCACGTATACGTACGTTGGAAAAAGCTGAGAGGGTTCCTTCTAACATTTGTACAGACTTGCCTTTCACTTCGTCTTTCTTACAAAGGAAACAGTCGGTTACTGGAGATCCTGTTGTTGTTAGTTTTTTAAATGTCTTCAGGTATTGAACTTTTAAAAACGTTTGCCTGTACAACTATCAAATAACGTTTATTTGTGAATATGCAGAATAATCAAATCCAAGGATTTATAGTCGCAGAAATCAATTCGAATTTTTAGATTAATAATATACATTGGTTCAAGTTAGTCACTTTTTACTTTCTGCAGGTTTATCCTAGTTAAGAACAAAAAAGGATATTTTGAAATACATTAGGCTTTTTTTATTTCTTTTTCCAAATATTTCTAACTAAAAAAAGCACAGGCTTATCCATATGCATTGAAAATAATGTACAATTATGAGTTCAATGCATCAGAAAGACATCTATGGATGGATATGGGTACCGAATTAATACCATTAATCGAAAGGCCGCCAGAGCTCATTGGTTACATGGCTAAGTACGTAAGCTTTTCCTAATTAGTTTTTGTTTCTTATTTTTAAAAAAATATGAAATTCATACTAGCTTTTTACTAAATATAAGGAAGCTTAGAATTATATGGTAACACGTTGCATATTAGAGGATAATGAAAATTAAGAATTTTTGCAGTATGAGCTTTTTGCCGCATGCGCATCCAAATATAGTACAAATGTATAAAGCATTTACGGATTGTATGCCAGTGTTGGAAGATGCTCGACTTTTGTACCCGGAAGCTCTGCCAACATCTGATTTTTATGAATTGATTATTGATGAACCGAAAACATTGTTTATAGTTATGAGAAGGCAAATAACTTGCTGTATTTCAGTAGGTTGCAATATTTAAAGTTCTTAACTTAATTTCTGCATAATAATTCTGCTAGCTTTCTTCCTAACTCTGACCCTTTGCTTATTTTATTGCAGTAATAATGGATTCAAAAAATTAAGGCAAAATTTTCTTAGATGTGGAGAGAATCTGGTCTATTTTCCATTTTCAAAAGCTTGTCACCGGAAAGTTTAGATAATAATGCTTTAGGTTTCAGGTACCGAATGACTTTACGAGAATACGTACTTACGCATAAACGAAATTATTGGTTTGGTAAGGTAATGTTTGGACAGCTTCTGGAAGCAATTGTTTATCTTTACAATCATCGAATTAGTCATCGTGATATAAAATCAGACAACATCTTACTCGATTTTAATGCTGATGGTAAATTTTTCATTAGTTTTTCTCTCGTAATTTAATTAATCCTTAATTTTAGATACATCTAAAGTTGTATTCTTTCATTTCAAAATTGTCATCTTTCTTTTCAAGTTGTAATTTCTTTATATTCTGGAAATGACTTCCAAAAAGTTCCTTTCTTTGCCTTTCATATGTCACTATCCTGCAAAATGTCTTGTTTAGATGATGTTCCACATTTGGTATTGAGCGACTTTGGTTGTGCATTGGCAACGGGGACTTGGAAAGTACGTTACGATACGGATACAGTTTACCTTGGAGGAAATATGGCTTTAAGAGCTCCAGAAGTAGATTGTTTGATAATTTATTCATCAATTAACCTAAAAAATTATTATAACTGAAATTCATAATCAATTAACTTAAAAATCTTTTGTAACTGAAAAAAATCAAAACCTACTTCAGTTGTTATGTGTTTTACATATCTTTTGAAGTGCTGCTCGCATAATAAGTCATACAAAAAAAATCTTGTATTGGTACTGCTCATTTTTCCATCTTTTCTGAAAAAAATATTATGGAACTTAAAGTGAGTCATGAAATTGAAGTTGGGAGTGGTATGCCAAAGCATCGGCATTCGCAAATATTCCATTGTGCTAGTTTTAATTTTACTTAACTCGCTCATTCTTAGAAAGTTGAAATTTTCATTGCTATAAAGCTTACATAAAAAGACATCAAATTTTGCAGATCCGTTCTGCCCATCCAGCTCCCAACAATTGGGTAGATTTTCATATGGCTGATCTTTGGGCTGCTGCTACAGTTGGATACGAAATTTTTACCAGGCAACAGTTTACTTTTAAAACTAGCAAGTTTACTAACATTCGAATTATTTTTAGAGGTCTAAGTACAATGAGATACATGTTCTGTTATTAGATGTACAACAGTGATGTTTTGTCAATAGATGTATAACTTATAAATTATGTTATGTCATTGGATGTATAACAGTGATTGTCGGTTATATAATCCGTAGGAGGAAATTTGTAATGCGCTGAAGAATCAGAAATTTATAGAAGAAATTAGTTTCTAAATTTTTAATTTAGAATGTATTTCTCAAATCATTTCACAGTTTCCTACAAATTTTGCTGTTTAAATTGCTCAAGATCAGAAAAAAAAACCTTCAAATCATTTGCAGAACAAATCCATTCTACAGTCGTATGAGAAGCGATCATTATGCGGAATGCGAACTGCCTCCATTACCAAAGAAGATGGATTGTCCGATAAAAGCAGTTATTCAGAATATGCTGCAAATTGATCCAAATAAAGTATTGCATATTTTCATTTGTTTCCCATAAAATTTGCTTGATTAAAGAAGCTGAGACAGCTGATTAAGTTATATTATCAATTGGTCACAGTCATGATTGCCGATGATTACCAAATAAAATTAGTATAAAAGGATACTGATCTATAAAATATGAATGCACACTGACTTTTCTTATTTGAGTTGATTGCATTATTTTAACACTTTTCAGCGACCAATTCCATCTGTTGCGGCAAATGTCCTTAGTATATCATTGTTCCGATTTGGTCATAATTTACGAAAGCTCTTTGATGATTGTGGTTTTGATGAAACATTATTTGGCGCAAAAATTAACGATTTGAAGAATGCTGCAAGTAAAACTCTAAAAACGGTAATATTATCAGATGAAATGCGGATTTAGAATAGTATCTTGTTATGCAAAATTCCTGCTAAATAAAATTCTTGAAACTTATATGTATATCATTTTCAAAATATTTCATTAAAACGATTTTTTATTTTAGATTGAAGAAAAGATGATAGCATCAATGAATGATTTCACTCTCCTCTTTGCTGCGGAGACAATATTAGCTCGAAATATTCATCCAAATGTAGTCAGTACAGCGGAACTACAGGTTGTTGTTTTGATTTGATCAGCATCAGAATACTTAAATTTGCAATATTCTTCTCTTTGTTGCGGGACAATATCGGCTGAAAGTATTCTTCCAAATAAAGTCAAAATTTTCCGATTTTTTTTGATTTTTCGACTTGAAATTTTTTCCCAGTTGTTGAAATCCAAAAAATTGGCATATTTGTTTTTTGAAGACTACTTCTTTGATTCACTTAAAAATTTTATATGACTGAAAGTTATGGCTGTTTTATATCTGTTGGAAATTAATAAATAGTAGGTTGAAGTTATGGATATGCTACAGGCTGCTAATGTTTTCGTAAATTCTTAACGGCAACGTTGACGATTTAATTCTGGCAAATGAGAAATGAAGTTCGAAATTTGTTGAGGATAAGGCAAAGCTAGAAATTTTGTTTGAGATAATTCATAATTGTTACTTTATTTCCAGCTCCGCGCAACGTTTCTATCTCGAATTGATCACGAATGTATTTGGTCAGCTTTGAGTTATTTCTACGATAATGACAATTTGTCAGAAAACCACACAAGCGTTTTTACTGCAGAAATAAGAGATTCAATGTTTGCAGCTGGTGATTTGACAAATTCTATAAATAATCTTATTAGCACATAAATTTCATGTTTTTATATAGCGACAGGTAATCCGTTGGTTAAAGTGGAAAATTACTGAATTTATTGAATAGGACGGGGAAATTACTGCGAAATATGAAAAAAAGGGACTGGCTGATTCTTGCCCAGCTGCAGGGTTCAGTTGGTGATTGGAGAAGAATGAACTACAGTTAATTTCTGATTCAATTTTAGTGGAAATTTCTGACCAATTATATTGAATTGTTAGTTATGCGACTTCTTTTGAACTTCCCCATACTTTTAATATTGAAGTTTTTCTTTTTTTACCTTTTGGATTATGTTGGTGACAGCTGTAATAGTTTTATATCTAAATGATCAAAAAAAATTTGTTAAATATTTTTACAACTTTTCATTTTCCAGGTTATTATATGTATTTATAGAGTGTTGTTAGGATTGTTCTTGCCTTCAGATCAACTTATATATATGGATAGAAAGAGTGATTGATGTTTCAGGGAATATATTAATTTTGAGAGTTTTTTTTTGTCCAAAATTTTCTCTCTCATTTTAATAATTTTTTTCTTTTGAATCAAATAACTTGAAGAGAACAAAAGATATTTTAAATTACGCGTCATAATTTTTTCCGAAATTCAAATGAAGTTTTATGAGAATTTTGCTTTAGATTTTATTCATGTATTTAAAGACTTTTAGCTCATTTTGTGTCTTCGATAAATTTACTTTTTTTCTCCAGAGCTTATTACTTGCAAAAATGAGATATAGTGTCATTATGTACAAAATCAAAAGTCAGTTTTATGTGCTTCAACTTGTTGTTCACTTTTTTGGTGTATTTATATGTAGTATGTGATTGGAATGAAGCGTTTGTTTCAAGATATTTGTTTTGTTAATTTTCAAGCTATATCTTACACTTTTATATCTCCAAATTTTTGCCCATTAATATCTTTTTATCTTTTAGGCGATTTATAAGTTAAATGGTACTCTTAATATAAAGGGAAACTTATTCATCTGTTGACAATATGTATTACTTATCTCCTTTGTTAATTTTTCAGAAAGATTACTCGGTGAAATCCAATTTAGTTCCCAAATCTTTTAGATTGAGTGTTATAATTTAGTTTCCTTAGTAAGCGATCCGTAGTTTAAATTCATTTCTTGTCATATGACCTCTTTGTGTTGCTGTAATATCATTGAGAGAGATAGCCTTACCACGTATTTGTCCTTTGATTGTTTTTTGTCTTTTACTTGAAGCCAATATGGCAAACAAGCTAACAAGCTATATTGGCTTCACGTAAAAACAAAGAAGAATCAAAGGACAAATATGTGGTAAGGCTATCTCTCTCAATGACATTACAGCAACACAAAGAGGTCATACGACAAGAAATAATGAATTTAATGATTACTTGTTAGCTATATAGCTAAAAAGTAATCATACAATCCTCACTTTTCCCATTGCTTCTTTCTTTCCCAACATGACATTGTCTGACTTTGGGGTTATCTGTTAAGCCTATTATCTCTTATTATTTCTTATTAACTCAGTCAAATATTCGAATCAAGATCCTCTATTTGCATCCATTCACATCCTTCAGCATTCGTACGCTGCTTATTCATCCATGCTAGCAAACTGTCATCATATATTGTGTTGAAGCTAAAATTATTCAGATAAAATTCCCAACTATAAAATAAATCTTAACAAATAATTTTTTTATGAGTCAACACGGACCAATTTAAACGCTTTCACAACAATAAGTGCTTTCACATTTCATATTTACTGATTACTCGTAACAGTTCTATATTCATCATTATTAATTTATGAAACTTGAAGTAGTTTTATCTAATTGACTTCCTTAAATCATCGGAAATGAAAAATCTAATATTCTTTTTTATCTGCTAACTCTTTATAAATTTCGGGGTTGCAAAAGAGGAGAAACAGGATAAGGGCAATTTAAACCTCATAAAATAGCTTGAATGATCACATCACAAAATTCACATTGTTATACACATCGTTTAATGAAAACGTAGAATATTGAGTGCTAATGATGGTTGAAATAATGTTGTGGCAGTTTCTAGCCGATGACAATTTAGTATTTTTTAGTTGCAATTTGTTATATCGAGAATTATTTTTCAAATCTTAAACTATATGTTATATAATGAAGAAAAAATTGCAAAATAATTTTAACTCTCTAACTCTACCGTATCATAAATAATTTTAACTCTCTAATTCTATCATATCATAAATAATTTTAATTTTCTAACTCTATTATATCATATATGTCAAATTTTTAATTCATATTTTGCTGCGTAGTAGTTTTGCAAACAGTAAATATAAAATATAAAAAAAAGTTACGAATTAATCCAATGATAATGTGAATGAAAATGTATGGGAAATTTAGATAGCAATATTGTTTTTTTTAGATAAATTTTATTGATAATGATGCGAAGGAATGCATTGATGTCTAAAATTTCTGATAACGAGAGATATATTGCAATGATAATATTAGCATTGTAAATGTGATTAGTGATAATAGACTACTACATATTGTTATGACGCATTATAAGTATAATTGGTGATAACATAGACTATTGTGTATTACTAATATGAAGCATTATAATTATGATTGCTGATAACGTTTCACTATTTTTAATCGAAAAAAATTGCAAAAATAATATATTGGAATCTTATCAGTCTTAAGCGATCTTTATTTTCCAATCGCTTCATCCTTTTAGCTATTCAATATTGTAATCATTTTTCGAGATTAGGGTTAGTCATCTCAAAAGCAACCCATTGGTTGTAATTTTCGTCACTTGTATATGTTTTATTTCGTATTCCTCTTGTTTCATTTAATGCAGTTATATAATTCGAAAGTTTGTTTAATCGTTTAAAATATCGAATAAATTGTTTATTTGGACATAACAGGTATTCGGTTATTGATCCAAACAGTGCAATTATATTTTTCCTTTTTGCCTCTCTTTTCACTTAATTCGACTTTATGTCCTTTTATAGCATAATCTTTCTGTATCATTTGATATTTAACAGATGCATGAACAACGACAAGTAAGAAGTGATAATTCCAGTGGTACAGAACCATTATCACCATCTGAATCTAATCGGTTGCTTTTTGTACAATTTTTTATACCCTGGACCTTTTTTTAATTTTATGATAATTTATCGATATCAAGAAGTAAAAGTTTAAGGATGTACGATAGGAAGTTAAGAAAAGTAAATCTGTTACTTCAATATTATTATTTAGCATTATTTAAACACTGATCAACCTCAATAGAATTATCTGATGTCCTAATATGATTAAGACCCTGATCATATTAACAACAGTTGATTAAGTAGCACTGAAGTATGTTATTTAAATTGCAAATTTGTTTTCTGGTTATTTTTCAAGAGCCGTTTAGATTTCGAGTAAAATTTGAGATTTATGGAATAATAATTTTAGACTTATATAAAGGAAGAAAAAAGTGTTTTTGCAGGATGCAGGAAGATATCTTACAAACTTTGTCAGCATCAGATCGTAGTGATGGTGAACGTCTACGTCGACATTTGCAATTTTTTTTTATGGATCCAATAATGAAATGGAAAGTACGCCATCAATTTCCATTCAAATTAGCCCTGCAGATTTTCAAAATTATTTTTATTTCGATACAAGTAAGAATTATATTTTTTAAGTAATTTGATGAATTTTTAGTTCGATAATAATATGATATTTCTCTCCACATTTACATCCATATTTAGTTATTCATATTTTTTATTTATGCTCTTATTTCCACATATCTTTACTTATGCTCTTACTTCGACATTCTTTTTATTCCGATTTTCTTATACGGAAAAATTGACCACATTTTCCTCATTGTTTAACTTGAAGCAGAACGACTATAAGAGGATAATTTTGAAATTTGTATATATATATATATATACTAAAAAGATAAATAGAATTTTCTCAGCTTATAGAAGAAGGAAAGAAAATTGCATTTTTATGCAAAAAACAAAAGTGCTTTTACCACTATAATTTTATGAATTTTCAAATTAGATTCAAAATGCACTCATTGTGCATGTATATTTTTAAATGATTAACAAATCCTAAATTTCAAAAAATTATTGATGTGAAACAAAATTTTGGGTGAAAAAAAGATTGAGATTGTGGCGATACATATCTTTTGCTGTAAAAAAAAGATGAATGAAGGCAAAATCTTTCAAAAATTGGGATCAAAAATTTCTTATATTAAAAATAAGTCCATATCTGTATCAAGCAAACCAGAGAGAAGAAAGTGACTAAAAATTAGCGTATTCTGAATGTGCTATTTTTTACACAGTTCCTTTTCTTCCCAAAAAAAAAAAAATGACGTTTTGGTGCCATCAGATAGATAAAATTTTATAAATATTCAACAGAAGTATTAAATTTTAAATAACTTTCAATAAGTCGAGAACATTATGATCATTGCGTAATTAATAAGAAATCATGATTCATATATTAATAACTTGCTTGTATGATAGGTAATTGTCATCAGTTGGTTCTTTCACATATGTATTTTTTTCAGCTAATACTTTTTGCCGAATTACGTATGTCGCATGTTAATTTTATGGATGAAACAAATATGGTAATCCGACATAAATTTTTAAAAAATTGGAATAACGAGCGTGATACACTTATTTATCCACCATCATCTGGTAGATATTCTGTTTTCACAGGCACTGATATTATTGATCAGTTTGCATTTATGATTGTTGCTGTAAGTTTCTCGTCTTTTTTTTTGCGATTATGAATTATTTATAGTTTGTACAGATATTAAGATTTTCAAAAGCTAACAATTATGTAATCGATTTCATCAAATTTCTAATGTTAATTTTTAGAAAATGATTTAAAATTTTAATTTTTAATTGAAAAATTATATCGATGCTGAAATATATATTCCATTCCAGTATTATTCAATCAAAGAAGATTCATTTGCTAGTTTTTCATACGATACGCTAAAAGATCGCGGCACCTCTTCTCCGGTTCAAGTAGATGATTCAGAATTTATTAGTGATATTTCCATTGACGATATACCACCAATGCAATTCTGCTTAAAGAAAATTGCTAATGTTACAGTTTTTAACAACACTTATGAATTCGATATTTCAGAAATTAATGGTGAGGAAATGTTTTGATTAAAATATATACAGTATGTCAAATTTTAGACTACTTTTCATTTCGGAGTTTTTTTGCAATGACTAGAGCCGGTTTTCTGTCTTTATGCATTCTTTATATGGAAACAGTATTTTTAAAAGTAATTTTAAAAATGAAAAAATGATTTAAAACACCAAGTTGTGCTTCATATTTCAACATCCTGTCATTTAAGATATTAAAAGTTTCCTTTTGATACGCATGATGGCTATACTTTTGTATCAAAATAAAAGTAGAATATTGGCTAGAAAGATCATTGCTGTGAAATTTTTTGTAGATAAATTTGCCAATGAACTTTTTCTTTTGTTGAGACTTTTTTGAGTTGTTGTTGTAATATATTTGTAGATTGTGTATTATTGGAATTTAATGAAAACGAAGTGAAAGAAATCCGTCGAGATGCAGGCTCATTGAGAAAATTTCTTGAAAAACGGCAAATCACATTTAAACCTGAGGATGCTCTGATTATGTCAAAAGGTGTATTAAGCTTCAACCTACGAACCATTCATTTTAGTGCAATTGCGACTGATGAACGACCGGAGTGCTTTTTAATTCAGGTGAATTTCTACCAGCTTTTTTAAAATTTACTATCTTTTTCTATTGGTAGTGTTGTGACTGTGCGAGGATTTTAGTGATGTTAATTATCATTTCAATTGGTTGTCAATCTCGCTCGTAATTTACCTTTCACCAACGCTTTTTCTTATGAACTGTTAATACACAATTATTTAAAAAATTACTGCAAATAGTAAGTAAGTAAATTGAGTGGTGTAAATCACTTAAATCTAATAACAATAACTTTTTCATCTTTTTCGAAATTTAATCTTGCACATGCTGATATTAACTGTTTAGGTTTCAATTACTTTCGACAATACTCGACATACTGGTCAAGTATACATTTCTTTGTCAACACTTATCAGTTATGTTACTCTCTGTAACGGTCGAGTTATACATGGTATGTATTAGTTGACAAATAATTTGAATGGTATTTAGTTCTTTTTTTTCCATGAAATATTATATTTCCTTTTTTTCATTATTGTATCTGATTTTTCGCCTTCTAGAAAGAATGGCGAGCTATGTACAATTAAATTATTTATTATAGATGAGGGAGAAAAAAAAATGAATGAATTGAATTTTGGTTTTCTTTCCCACAAGCTTTGTACCCCTAATGATGAGTATGAAAACGTAATTATGAGTGTTAGAAAAAGATCTGGAAATAATATGACTCACTTGCTGTACTGATAAGAGATGAATTTGATCTTTCATTATATGTTTTTAATGAATTTGAGCATATGTATAAAGTAGAGAAAATATACAATTTATTATTTCAGGAGATGGTACACTCACAGCTAGCATTATCATGTTTGTTATTGATATTCTAGTTTTGTTTATGTGTATCGCCTCATTAATACTATGTTGTCGTGCGCTTCTTCGAGCTCATCTCCTAAAACTGGTCAGTTTTACAATATTTTATAATTGGATTTGGAATTTTGTCGAATTTTATCATCCATTAGTTATGATAATCTATCTGTATGTGGACATGCTATTTATTATATCTTATGATATTATCATGTCGTACTTTAATCTTATCCATTTATTTCTCATTTGCAGTTTTGCGACTGTTTGCCATTTACTGAAAACAGCGAATTTCCCATAACATATGGAATAAAGAAATCTGTATCAATTTTTGATTTAGCTTATTTATTTAATTTAGGCTACAGTACAGTTTGTTAGAAATGTATTAGGACGAGAGTTGATGCTAAGTGATCAATTGGAATTCGTGAATTTTTGGTATGTGATGATTGTTGCAAATGATATATGCATTATCTGTGGCACTATCTGCAAAATCACAATTGAATTTAGGGTAAGCTCACTGTTGTATTGCTGCTTCGAAATATTTCAGATTTAAATGCTTCAGTCCAGCTGCTGACAGGCTTGGTCAGAAATATTCTGCTAGAGTGATCAGAAAATTGGCTTCATAAAGTTGCTAAATCTATAGAGAGTTTTGTAGTTTCAAATTTGGACTTGAAATGCTACTTTTTGATTGTACAATTTTTATGAATGTTCAGAATAGTCAAATTCCAATAAGTGTTTGGGTACTGATCAATTTTCAATAAGATGTTTTACGATGTTCCAAATTCTATCAAATTCCGATATGCAATTTCTTCCATATATGTAACAAAAAGAAAAAAAAAAAACACCATTTCAAATTACAAATTTCCTGGACTTTTCAGGATTTTGATAATGATCTGTTTACCACATCTGGTATATTACTGGGCACCGGTGCCCTTCTGGTTTACGTCGGTCTACTGCGTTACTTTTGCTTTTTTTCAAAATATAACGTTGGTTTATTTTCACAAAAATTCATTATTTAGTAATGAACTATTCTATTTTAATTGTAGATTTTCTCTTTTTGAATTTTTTCAGAAATAAATTCATTTCAGATATTGATTTTGACGGTAAAGAAATCGTTACCGAATATTCTTCGCTTTATGTCGTGTGCAGCTGTTCTTTACGCCGGATTTCTTATCGCAGGATGGGTTATAATCGGACCGTACAGTTTAAAGGTTTTTTTTACTAATATTTTTAATTAATACACAAAAAATATGTCATACAGTATTAGCTCAATTTTGTCACTGAAATCGTCAGAGAGATTATCTTGTTAGATTGCTTGAAATTGATACGTTTGCATTCGGATACAACAACATGAGATTTTTTTGAAAAAGATTATTGACGCTATGATCGAACTCAATTTGCCTATTAGCATGTTGTTGATACTTCGAATCGCTTAATGATCGAATATATTATCTTTTATAATCAGGAAATCTATTTTTTCTAATTTCATTTCATAAATCAAATTACTCTCCAGTCAAATCAAAATAATTCCAGTTTCGTACGTTAGCAAAATCATCAGAAGCGTTATTTTCTTTATTAAATGGTGATGATATGTTCGCTACGTTCTTTACTATCAACGACTCTAATACAATTATTAAAATATTTGGCACAGTATACATTTATATATTTGTGTCTTTATTCATTTACGTAGTTTTATCACTATTTATTGCGATTATCATGGATGCTTATGAAGTCATCAGAGTATGTTTTCTAACGTTTCCTAACTTATATAACACGTTCTTTGAATATCTTTTTTTTGATTTCATATATTGAAGTTTCGATTATTATTACTTGATTAATGACGGCAGATTAGCATACGTAAAAATACAGTGTTTGAATAAAAAGTATAAAAAAAAATGCTAAAGTACAGAGAAGTTTTATCCTTAATCATTAATAAAAATTGAACTTTCAGTACAAGTAGAAATTCCAAAATATTGAAAGAAAAAGCAGATTGATGCAAGGACACTTTGAAATAGGACATTTATTCTTTTCAGGGCAAAAGAATAAAAAAAACTTAGACAATAAGTAATTAATCTTCTCTTTAATTGGTATTTTGTAAGCAATCACTAAGTATGTCCTTATTTAATGCTACTGTATATTTTTAGATCGGAAATCTTCCCAGTAACTATTCTAATATTGTAATGTTGATAAGAATATTACACCGTAGATATTTTATATTTGCAAAGATTACAGGATCGCTACAAAACTCAGGAAATTGAAGAGAAGTCACTATTACAACTTTTACGCGAAGGCGAATTATACAATTTAATGGATGTTGAAGAAAGACGATCTCAATATTCTTCAAGAAATTTGCTCGAATTAGGTGAAAGAATTTTTTTATTATTTATGATACACGATTTATATAAGTGCTTAATATAAATTATGTTTTTAGTTCAAAATAATTTCTAACAAGGCTTTCAAATGAGCATTGTTGAAATATAACAAAATATACCTAGGAAGGCTTTAAAACAATTCTAGGCAATTCTCTGATTCGTATATTTTTGGATTTTCATATATTTCCAAATTTCTCAGGGCATTAATGATCCGTTTATACAGCAGCATTGCTGGACAGCTTCTTTTGTCATAACCACTACTCTTATTTTTTTATTTATTATAGACTGTTGTGATTTGTTTCGATTAGCTCACCGATGCGGAGATCGCTTTCGTTACATGCGTCTATATAATTCAACTGAAAATTCAGATACATTTGCTGATCAGCATCTTGTAAATAGAACTGCATTTAATAATGGATTGTAAAGTTTATTACAGACATAAAATAGTAGTGCCTCATTAAAGTGAATTTCATGTGAGTTAAAGAAAACTCTTCTAACTATTAGCGCCAGTCATTAATTTGCTAAATACATAAATTATTTGTTGCTATTAATAGTTAGTGCCTCATTAAAGTGAACTTTAAGCAAATAACAAAAAGAATTATTTCATTCATCTTTTTGAGGTATTTATCTGCATTTAAAATGAAATCTTGTTTCTATTTAATATTTTCTGCAGTAATTATAGACTTATATTGTATTATTTGATCAAGAATTTTATCTTTCAATATCTGTATTTATTTTCATAATTACATGTTTCAAATGATGCATACAATGTATATAACTAATCCTGCATTGCATTTTTCCTCTTTTCTGTATTTAAAGATTGTTAGTTATACAATTTTTATTCTCTCTCATTCAATGGTTTTCCATTCTTTCTTCATCATTTTTATTGTTTTCAAACCGAATGCACAACAAATCATTTTGCTGTATTTTTTATTTATGCATCAGTTAGTTTATCAAAAATTATGTAAGTAGCAGTTATGCATTAATTGTAGAAAAAGTTTTTATTTGTAATCTATAATTGTGTCATTCTCATTTCTTTTCATCTTCCTCATTCTATACTTTCTTTTCAATTTGAATTGATTAAATGCAATTTATAATTTGAGTGATTATTGAAAATTATTTTCAAATAAAAACTCAAGCTGAGAAAAGATGAAAAAATAATAATTTTTTCCGCATTAATTGATAAAGTTAACAGGAAAGAAAAAAAAAGTAAAAAATTTTCTCCTTTAATTTATTTGATAAAATATTTCTACTCATTTGGTATCATATCATTCAGAATTATTCAGATTAATCTTTTTTCTAATAAATGCTTAAAGTGCTTAATTGCGATTTATTTTGCTTTGCTGAAATAAATATTTATTTGAAAATGCTTCAACAGAATGCTTAATTTGGGATTCGATTGAATAACTCATTATCCTCCAAATGTTTACTCATCTTTCTTTGGAGTAGAAAAGTATTTTACGTACTCCCTCGAAATACGATAGTACATTTAGAGAGATAATTTATTTTTGGTCCAATCTTAACTGAAATATTCAGAGGAGAAGGGATGAAAATTTGAAAATAATCGTGTTTTTAATCGGGAACAACCTTGCAACAGCAGCAATTTTTGTTCAAATTACAAGCATATCAACTTATTATTCGAAAATTTTTGCGCCATTTGATTTATCAGTTCTATCTCATCGATTAATTTCGATCAATTTTCATCAAAATTAATCTGTCATTTTCATAAAAGTTGATGTTTTGCTATTGGAATGGTAAAGTTATATTAAAAGTATTTGTTGGAGTAAAAAGTAAAATTAACACCATGATATTAGTAATTATTGAGTAAAAAGTAATAAGTAAAATTTAATACAATAAGTAATTATCATAGTATTAGTAATTATTATAATATTAATTAAGATTGCTGGGAATGAAAATCCCTAAACAATTTTCACCCTTGTCTCTATCACTTTCTCGCTCTCTCAACAAATTAATTTCAAAATTAAATTTAACCGTGGCATACCTGTCCGGCCATCAGTATAAACTCATATTCCTGAATAGCTAAATCTTTTCATACTGTTAATTTGATGAAAAAATGATGTTGAAACGATTCGGAAATCACTGAAAGATGGAATCATTGGAGGAAAAAATAAGATAAAAGCAATCAAGCTTATCATAATTAATACAGGAAAAATTTAGAATTCAGAATTTTCCCCATCTAGTTAGCATTGATGGAATTAATTTATATCTTGCGCTCACTTTTACTTTTTGTTCACTTTTAAAAACTAAATAGGAAAATTTCGATTCCATTTTCCTTTCTAATTATCATATTTGTTAGCAATTGCAAAGGAATCATAAATTCATTTCCTCTCATCGAGGACAATCTTCCGATGGGAATTTTAATTTTTATTCTTCTTAGAATAATTTCCGAAAAAAAAAGTCAGATAAACAAAAAATATTCCATCATTCTTTGTCATCCATATTTCAATCATATGATTGAGATGTCTTTAATCATTCTATCTTATCACGCATGTTATCAATCGCTTTTCCAATATTCGACAAGTATTACAGAGAATTTTTTAAACATAAATTTAAGAATGTGTAAATTATTCCTATCAAATATTTTTTTTCACTTATTAAATTAATTAATATAACTGAAACAGAATGATTTAATATTTGCAACATTTTGAGTCTTTCATTTTCTGATTTTTTGCAGTATTTCGAGTTTTTCATTTTTTTTTGCTTTTCATTTCCATATCGATTCAAATTTGAGTTTCAAATTTTATAGCACATTTTTCTTTTCTCGCTAAAAATTTTCTTTTTAATATAAAATAAATTCATTCGAATATTGATAGAGTGAAATGATAATAGCATGATTGTTATTATTATTGCTTACCAAATTGTATTGCGTAAAGATAAATGAGCTTAATTCTTTATCGAAAAGTTTTAGGATAATGAAATTTCTTTGCACCTCTTTTTTCCTTTACTTCTTTCTCATCTGTTTTTGCTGCTGACAACAAAACGTTCGAAATGACAATTTTCAATAGTATGCCATATCAGTGATGTTTATCACAACCGAACAATCTTATCACTAGCATTCAATTTAACTTTCATTTGCATTTCATTTTGTATTAAACTTTCACTTTGAATAAAACAAATAAAAGACGAAATGAATGATTATTTTTGCGTGGAAATTATATATTTTAATATAGTTCATTAATTAAACTGGAACATTTTATTGTGTTAAAGTTCAAAAATTTTTCAATTCTATATTTTATTTCATTATTTTGCAATTGTAATAATACTAAAATAATTGCTGTAGCAATTGTAGTAGTAGGAATTCATGTTGCCATATTATGATATTAGTATTTGATAGCTGTAATAGCAGTAATTATTACTATATTAGTAATAGTAATAGTAATTAATAGTCTGTACTAATGTTAAAAGTTGTAATAGCATTGATAGTAATATTTAGTTGTGATAGTATTTGTAATTAAATACCAAACAAATTTGTGTATTTCGAGATAGAATTTTGAAGAGGTGAAATGTTGGATAAAATAATAGAAGTGGATTATTACCGATGAAATGTACCAATGAAGATCAATGGATCCACTTTAAAAACGAAAAAAAAAAAAAGAAAAATCATTTTTCTTTATTCTTCAAAAGAAAACGAAAAATTTACTTTAATTCTTTTGCAGCAAAACACACACACTTCTATTCTTTTCTTTTTTTTTTGCCTTGTTTAATTAATTATACGTACAAATATGACATCAAATCGTTGTTTATTCAATTTTTTTTTCATTCCTATCCTTTTTTTTCCAATAATATTTATTTAAAGAATTTGTTTCGATCAGTTACATTTTAATTCAATATATATGGTTGATATTTTTGATTTAAATATTTCCATTTCAAGCAATCTAAATGATATTCAATCACTGAAACTCTCTATCAATTAGACTGAATGAGTGAAATAATTATTTGCGAGATACTTAATTTATTTTTTTTCTTGTGTATCATCAAGAAATGTATTAAATGGCTCAATGGCTAAAAGAGCGACGCATTAAGGCCCTAATAATATCTGCCTGAAAAAAAAGTTTATTTGTATCTTTTTGTAAAATATGAATGATAATGCTTTTATTCATTTCATGAATGAAAAAAGGAAAAAATGAAAAAAGGAAAAAATGAAAAAAGGAAAAATAGAGAAAAAGAAAGAGAGAGGGAAAGAGGGGGAGGGAAAGAGGGAGAGGGAAAGAGGGAGAGGGAAAGAGGGAG